AAAACTTTGAAAAATACTTAAGAGACTCATGGAAGAGTAACTGGAAGAATATATCTCTTACAGTGGGTCAAGAAGAAAAATAGAGTAGCAAATGAGCAGATATAGTTTATTTAATTAAGAACAGAAAAGGTCATAATTTGGAGTAATGAATAGATATTTCTATTCAAGAACCTAGTGGACTTCAACTATGTTGAACTTAGGCTTATCCCCAAGAAATACACACTGAGATAAATATAACAAAATTTTCAGAATTTGACAGCTGTAAGAATAAGGTATGTCATGACACATCAGAAAACTATCAATGAATTTCATATCAGAAACCTTACAGTCTAGAAGGGAATGAGATGATATTGTCAAAATGCTAAAAGAAAAAAAATATAAAGAATCCTATGTTTGGAAATCTCTCCTTCATATAATGAAAGAGAAACAAAGTGTTTCCAAGATGACCAAAAGCTGAGAGAGCTCATCATCACTAGACTTGCTTTATAAGAAGTTCTTAAGGGAGCCCTTCAAATTGAAATCAAAGGATGCTAAACAGCAGTACAGAAGCATATGACAGTATAAAGCTCTATGGTAAAGGCAAATATATAGACAATATAAAATACTATAATACTTTAATAATGCTGCAAAAATAACTTCTGTTGACACAGAAGTTCACAGCCAAAAGCATAAAATATATCCAACAATAAACTGAGTAAATGGATAGACAACATAAAAAATGATGGAAGTTGTAAAATCAATAATAAAATGTGTACGTGATGTGGAGTAAAAATATTTTTCTGTAAGTAAAGTTATAAGTTAAAATAGATTATTAAGACTATTGGATATAAATTCTTTTGGACGCACACACATACTTTCAGAAGACAAACAAAAAAATAAGACACATCAATTTAAAGAATAAGACACAGAAAATAACAAAAGAGACAAAGAAGGATAAAATCACTACATGGAATAAAACAACAAAAGGACAATAACTAAGTCTTTTCCTATCAATAACTATGTTAACATTATAAATGATTAAACACCCAATAAAAAGAGACAGAGTACCTACAAAATTAAAAAAATGTAGCCATACAAATGAAGAAATTCAGTAATATCACAGTATTTGCTATTTATAAGACACTTATTTTAGGCCAAACCCACCAGCCAGCCTGGATTAGCTCATCCACTTTGGTGTGGTACAGGTGA